AAGGCTATTCAGCACAAAGTAAGGTGTTTTTTTTTAAATCTAAATCACATCATCTTTATGAGACAGGCCATATGGCACACATCATTTTGGAATAGATAGTCTGTCCTTCAGTGGCATCCTTGGCTTGTGTATTCATTTGCTATTCTCACTCTTATAAGCAGACGCACATTTTTTGTAAGATTATATTTGCTGGTATCACTGAAAACACTGTTGGTCTGAAGAGAAAGTATTAGAAAGGAAATTATTTATTGATCCCATGGCACTGGGTGTTTGTTTCCCTTAATTCAATGCCTCAGTAAACAGCCTATAGCACATTTAATAGAGTATATATCTTCCTGGTGTTTGCAACGTGTGGTAGTGCTAGGTTTTTAGCTTTCTATTTTTAGCTGCAGGTTCAATGACTATGAAATGTGCAAACACAGGGAGAAATGGCCCTGCTCGAGGGCCGCAGCCCCCAACCCCCTGCCTGCGCTCAGCCGTGAAGAGTTAAGCTGAAGGGAGGTGCGTGTGTGTAGTGTGTGTGTGTGTGTGTGTGTGTGTGTGTGTGTGTGGTGTGTGTGTGTGTGTGAATGTGGAGAGTCTTGGGCAGAATGGCTGCAGTGAAAGTGAACATACCTCTGGCTGTTACAGCTGCTTGACCTGTGTGTGTATCACTGTGCATACATGCATCTGTTGTGGAGTGTTTGTGTCTATGTAGTCTGTGAGGGAATGAGCGGTATTACAGTTAACCATCAGTGTGAGTTCAGCTCACACTGTCTTTGGGCTGCATCCCTAGATGGACTGTTAGCAGCCTCATGCTGTGTGATGTCTCTTCCAGTGTGACTAAAGACAGAAAAAAGTGTAATGAATGAAACAAGATGTTTCTGTTACTGCCACACTCTGGGAAGCAGCATGAGTAAATTTTTCCTTGAATTATGTCTGTTTTTAAGGTCTGAGAGATTGGAGAATGTGTACAGTCATTTAGAATAATGTCACATAAATCTAAATCTCATTTCAACCCTGAAGTTGTTAGCTTAGGCTGCTCTTTCCTACTAATAAAAACCATATAGCTCATATTCCACATGCTTCTCTATCAGTTGATAAAACTCTTTAAAACCTCTTGGGCCCATCCCTTCAAATCCCTTTGGATAATCTCAAAATGCACTGTCATCAAGCTCAAAACAAGGCTGTGTTTATTCTGCAGTTCATGTAATGTTTTGGACATATGAGGATTCAGCCCTGCAGTGACATTTTCCTTCCTTTTTGCTCTTCCTGCCTAATGCACTGTATAAACATCCATTTTCATTCTGACTCTGTTCCAAAGTGCAAATCAGATCCAAGTATTGATGTCTGAGGCTCAGTGTGCTCAACATTTACTGGACCCATGCACGTTTTTGTTGTCCGTTTTTTTGTTGTTGTGTTTTTTTTCTTTTTCGAATACCAATGTGCAATTAGGTATTCACCGCTGAGATAAAAGAGCTCGACATGTGGAGTGCAAGGGCTGAGAACGTGGTTAATTATTATTGGCAGGCTGGAGAGGTTCATAGAAACTGACTCTATGTTAATTGCAGTTTGGAGGGGTAAATATGTAGGTCATGGGTGTGGTTTTCTGTGAAGGAAATGGGCCGTTTCAGAGAGAGAAGGGCAGATTTCAGTAAATAACCACACGTGAAACATAATCCTTTGGGCTGTTATTGCCTTTTTTGGCAGTGACAGCTGAAGAGTGACAGGAAAAGTTATTTTTTATTAGGATAATGTGAGAATGTATAAGTAGAATCCTCCAACTAATAACGTCCATGTGAAAACAAAATAGGCATGTTATTTTCACCCATTAGCTTTATTATTGATTGTGGAAACTAGAACAGATTGGATGACGTGTAGGATTCATCCATTGCTGAGTTAAGAAATCTTTTTGTGGAACAAAATTTTTTTTAAGAGTTGGGAACTGAATTCAGATTTTTGGATTTCCTCTCGCAAGCACTTACATTTCTGTATTACTCCTTGGTATGCACACCATCTTCTGTCTTTTTGTGTTTTACTCCACGCTTTGCTGCATTGTTTAAAATGATTTTAATTTGAAAACTGACCACTATTTCCTGAAGATTTGTTTTTATTTGCCCTCTGCATGTGATAATTCCATTTTAAAATAAATTCCTCAGACTAATTTTCACATATAATGTCAACCAAATTACAGTTTTGATTTTTGACAGCATGCACACTTATACATGTGTAAGTATATATATGTGTGCAACTTTCAGGTACAGGAAGTGATGTGTGGTTGATTAGCAGGAAAGACTGGCCTTGGTGGCTCCCGGGTCTTAGCTGATGACTCACGGTTCACTGCAGAGCTCTCACCATTACCCCAGTTAAAGAGGCAGCCATGGCCTCACTGGATACCCTCCTGTGGGACACATAAAGCACAGTTTGTAGCCTCCATGCTTCCATTGTGTGTCAACACAGTTATAGCCTATCTGTAACATTGATAGCTGGCTATAAATGCCTCATGTGTCAATATCACATTGGCCAGCAGATGCTGCCTGTGGTGTGGCTTTTTTTGCCCTACATTTGAAATGTAACTACAAAATGTCATTTCTAGATTTTTGACACATCCAAATGTGGCTGTATGAAGTAAGTACTGTTCAAAGTGATTTTTGCTGTGTTTCTATGCTCTAATGCAGACGTAGGAAGCACAGAACTCACTATTCTGCTTGTTTCAGTGGTACTACATCCTTAAGAGGAAAGTGCTGCACATTCCTACAGTACTAATCCATGACAGAGATGGCGACCTTAACGCCTATTTCCTGTCTACTTTTTTCCCCCAAAACATGCAATATCTAATTACCATTCAAAGTGTCAGTCTTCATTATCTTGTACACCTCCATTTCTTTTGTGTTGCATTGCCATTGCCTACTTTTTCCTTCTGTATTGTGTTATGTCAGTGTGACAAGCCAATAACCTGACACAAAATGGCTGTGGTTGAAAGCTTTGAATCATAATATGCTGTGAGCTTCACCTGTAAATGTTAACAGGTGTGGTTACTGCCTTTTCCAAATGTCAGTTTCATTTTCCTATTCCTAGTCCATGCACACAGAAACAGAGAGATACACCCTGTTCAGGACAAGATGGATATTGAAATCACAAGTAACTACCAAACACACTGTACTTGTTGATGCTATATCACAGTACTAGTCTGAGAGGATGTAGACAGCTGCCAGCTGGGAGCTTCACAAGGAGGGTGTAATGGCGTTGCGGTTCATGAAATCCCTCCCAGATTTTGCACAAGCACCCTTCTCTGATCAACCAGTAAGTCTTCAGCTCAGTGACAAGGACATGATCTCTCACTGACTTCCCACCCATGAACACTGACATGTTTGAGCTGGCCAGCGACACTAAAGGCTGGGGACTGAATCTTGACTTGTGTAATTGGACAACTGCTTCTTCTACTCCACCCAGGCACCCCATAAAAAAAGTGTATTTTTATCTGTGTTCTAGTGAAAAGACTTTACATGGCGTGATACAGGTTGTCGACCCCTGTGATCATTGGTTGGATTTCTCCACAGCGGTTACTACTCTGTATCACCCTGTGCTGCAGGTCTAGCCAGCCACTGAGATAAGCAGTTGTGGTTTAGGCTATGGTTACAAATCCATCCTTTGAACCTCTGCAGCCAGTAACTGCACAGATCAACACAGTTTAAGTGAATTCAGTTAATCTAGAAAGAACATATCAGTCAATTTTTATTTGATTCAGTGCTTACTGAAAAAAAGGCAAGCTATAGACCAACTGATGGTGGGTGAGGCAGCATTCAGATCCCGCTCACACTAATAACAGTAATGCACTGACTCAGCACTGGGATTGTAAAGGCGGGGAGTGGGGCGGGGGTGGGGAGGTGGGCTGCAGTAGCTCTTGGCCGCCCTACTGGCCGTCTGGCCCGTCAATCACTTGGCAAGCTCCTAGTCCTCTCAGGCACACTATAAGTTGCTCAGCGTTAACGAGACAGGTGTGGTCACCTGAGCAGACCTGAGTGAGATTCACGTTTCAGTGTAACAGATATCGATTTATGCCGTTTATACGAATAAAACGACTTGAGACAGAATGCTGAGCTTAAACCATGTAGTGTGTGTGTTTGTCTGTGTACATGTGTGTTTATAGTGATCGGGGCTCTTGTCTGCTCCTGGATTTATGAGGCCAATGTGGTGAGCTGGCTGCTGGGGCTGCAGTACAGAGCAGATAAAGGCACAGCATCATAGAGGAGTAAAAACCTCCACTCTCAAGTCCTTGTACAGCAAAACAGAAGGGAAATATTGCTATTCTATACTCTATACTCTCTTACCAAAGTGCATTGCCTGCAATTGCATTATCTCCACTTACTGAACCTTCATAAAAACGTGAGTAATCTCTGCAATAATCAGTCATGTAGGCTCTGCACTGTTGCAGTTTGCTAACCAGAAACGAGAGTTTAAAAGTAATGTACAGCATCATAATGAATAAGAAAAATGAGTTGATGTGCAATATGGAAACCTTAGTACATTTGATCAGCACTAAGAGATCTACCACTAAGAGTACTAAAAGGGGTTATTTGGACTGAGACTCAAAATGTATGATAATAAAAATAATAAACTGAACCCATGTGATGTCACCTTTCAATACTATAATATTATATGATAAAGGCTGCTGTATGTGTAAAATATTTCATCATTCACCTCATCAACATGAATTTTTAATAAGATTCATGAATAAAGTCGCTGTGGGGTGAAAACTCAAAACTCCAAGTTTGTGGATTTCTTTTAGAGTTTAAACTCATTTTCAAATCTAATTATTTATACCTTGTTTCTGAAAAGTTGACATTTTGGATGTTAAACGATTTTCACCCAGCAACAGCGATTTGCTTCACAGTTATGTTACAGCTTTATATAACACAAACACCCAAATCACTCCATTAGAGCTCATCATAGGTTATATAAGGTAACCTCAGCCCAGCAATCCTTCCAAACTATTAACACCTCCCTTTTCTTCCCTGCAGGTTATGTGGGTATGCAACTTGTGCCGAAAACAACAAGAAATCCTCACCAAATCGGGGGCGTGGTTCTACGGCTCGGGGCCTGGTCAGGTGCGGGGCGTGTTTGAGGGCGGGCCGCAGGGAAAGAAGGCCAAACTGCAGGACCCGTCCCTGTACCCCTACCAGGGAGCCTCAGGGGACTTGACACCAGCGTCAGACAGAAGCAGACCTCACGGCGGGCTCCTGCCCAGACAGGCGTCCCTTGACAACGGTTCAGGACTGAGGTACTCGGTACCCGGTGACGCACCCATAGACAGGTCAGTTCTATTTGAGAAAAAAAGCATACACCTACTATATGCTCCACGTGAGCTATACTGAGTTGTTTTTATTATTCTGATTGTTTGATCAGCAAAGTTGCATATGATGTGACTTCATGAAGGTGCATGGATGTAACTGCATAAGAGCATTTTAGCATTAGCACTGAGATATGTGGCCGTTGTATAAGTAGTGCAGAAAAGTGATTCAGTCTGGCATAAGAGCAATGTCTCCTAGCAAGCCAGTCAAGGTCCCATATAAAACGGCTTGTACATGGAGCCCATGAGGCCTATAAAGGAGACAGAGACACAGATACTGTATCTGGCACTAACTCAGCAATTCTACAACAGTCATCCACCCACTCACTTTCTCTTCTTCACACACACACACACACACACACACACACACACACACACACACACACACTCATACAGCACACAGCACATATCAACACAGATGGTTTGAGCTAGGATGGGGTGCTAGAAGGTGAAGGGTGTTTGCAAGAATTTAAACTTTCTCTTTTAGAGAAACTGCATTTAAACAACTAAACAACTGTTTTGTCATCAGGAATATTTGTAGGCCAGTTCAGCCACTGCAAGGCTTGAAAATGAAACATTATTAAGATGCTTTTGGAGTAGAAAAGCGAGAACAGGCCTAATTGCAATTCAGAACACTGTGTTCCATGCACTAAATGCCCCCTCTGAGTAGCACACTCTCAGATGCTGACATCACGGACATGCTGTGCTTGGGAATCTTATATCCGGTTGCCTGTTTCTTGATACTGTTGTCAAATAAGGTAGTTACTTTGATGTCCACATGGGGGCTCCTTCTTCTTTCTTCTTCCAAAGGAAGCAAGAGAAGCTCATAGTCAGTATCTACACACTCTATAGAAGTGTATTTCCACAGCACAAAGGCAGAAAGCCATTTCAGAAAACATCTTTCATGTCCATGTTTGTTCCTTCTCTGATCTAAGGTAACTTGACATTTGTTCAATGCAAACTTAGACTAGATGTGACTTTTATGCGGACATAACCAGCAAGTTAATTGTTAAGCCTTTCTCCCAGAATGTCTAAAATTGTTTTCAGTTTTGGAAGAACAAACCTGTGATCTGTAAAGTTAAGTGACTACGGTCATATTGGCAGTGGTAAAACTCTGGAAGGGAACATGCCCCCTATTTCTCTCTTGTGTTACAGTAAGGCTGTGATATCAGGTTTTGTTTTCCATAACCCTTGGTCCGTCGCAGCAAGTAGAGCCCACGGGCTAACAGATGTCTTTGTCTCTCTGCTGGTCCTCTCTGCCACTGAAATCAGACTTCCCAATTGGAAGATTGAAAATGTAGGCTATGTGGTATACCATCCAGTAGAGAGCAAACCCAGCAGATAACCTGAATCCAAGGGGAGGGTGGCTCTGAGTTAGCACCAAGTCATATATATATATATATATATATATATATATATATATATATATATATATAACATTTTGTACAAGCACCTACACATGTACGGGAGGTGCAGTGGGAAAGGAAGTGAATTTGACTAAATACCAATCCAGCCCATGCCTCTGTTCCTATTCTCTGCTGACCTTGTAAATGTATACTTGGAGGGCCACTTGCCACACTCTTCTAACACGGGGACAAACCAGCATGTACAAGCCTGTGCCCACAATGTGTTTGGAGACACAACTCATTAGTTCTGTGTCCTCTCTAGGCCACTGCAACCTTGTATTTACTTATTATTATATTCAGAACTTGGAAAAATGGAGGGGTCCTGGGGGAAAATGGTTTGGTTTAATTGCCTGGTATTTTTCTCCAAATGGATGTTTTGATGAATATATCCAACATGCGCCCTGATAGCTTACCTGGTACAGTACCAATGCTGAGGCCTTGCTGCAGTAGTCATGGGTTTGACTCCACCCTTTGCTGTGTGTCATCCCCTCTCTCTCCACCTTTTCCTGTCACTCTTCAGCTTTCCCTATCAATTAAAGGCAATAACCCCCCAACCCCTCTGAAAAGAAAGAAACAAATATCCAAATAACCTGCCCATTACCTATCAGCAGTGTTGTAATGAAGCTGCTGTGCTACTGTGACACATACTCAGAAACACTCCAAAATTGGCACATTTTTCTCTCCTGTCTTGGTAACATTTTGTTCCTGTGCTATCTTTGGTAAATCTCTCATCCATCATGTTTCTATACTCTGAATACACACTGAGGCGTAGTACAATGAAAAGCAGAGCATCATCTGTAACTGCAAATTGTAATCAAAGCTACACCTATAAACCTTTAAGGGCAATGCAGGATAACAGTATTTTGTGTCTCAGTGCAACTGGAGTACATTATCCATCTTCTCCTCAAATGGCTGGCTGCTTTAAGGTGGTTATAATGGATGATCAGACTGACTATAGATCAGACTATAGATCAGACTGCTCCAAGCATTCAGTCATCCAGTCACATTCTGTTCCAGTCCAGGCCCCCACCACTGTATATTAATTGATTGCATGGCTAGAGAGGTGGAGATGCTACTGGGGAGCGATTCTCGCTTTGGCATTGCCTACATTCGCAGTGACACAACAGGAAACTGGCTGTCTGAAAATTCAACGGATAATGCTGATGATGGATAGCAGAGAGTCCATAAATAGAACTCCCACCGCATAAGCACCAAAACCCACTTTCATTAATCTTAAAGAATGTTTAAATTAACTTCTGGATCTGTTCTGCTGAAGAAAGGAGGGGAAAAAGCTGACAGTCTATTTATAAGGAGAAATAACTTGGGAAGGCTTCTAATTTATCTTGGTCTCAGAGGTGTCATTTGAATGAACACAGAGATACGCTGGGACAGCTGCAGTATTTGGTGAGGCTGATGAAACAACAATGATTACATTGGGATTGGAACTTACTCACAGGTGGAATTTCTTCAGATTCTGCATTTTTAACACATTCAGCCACAGCAGCAGAGCCATTCAGCCTGCCAGAAATGTTAGAAGAGGAAAAGGAACATGTTCCTGACTGGTCCTTTAATATCCAGCCCAACCCAGTCCAGTGTAGAGTAGCCTTAAACAGTTCAGTTCATCATTGCTTATTCTGACCTAGTCTGTCTCAGTTCAGCCTTATGTACCCAAACAAGCCCTACCTTATGCATATATTTCATCAGCCAGTAATACTACACTGCCTTAGATAAGTAATTTGACCAAATAATTCACATTGACATGGAGTTTAGTTTTTGTGATCTGATCATGCTGTGACACCCAAAGCTTTGCAAGATAGTCCAGTATGAAAGAAGCACAGTCAGACAGTGAGAAAGATTTAAGACAAATCTTCTGTTTATTTTGGAAATGAGACCTAAAGTGAACATACCTGAAATATCTATTATAATTGTCCTTTGCATTGTAAAACTCCATGAGTGTGCACCTACAGCAAGTGCACTGGGTCAGTTGGAATGATATCTCGAAAATCTTGAAAAAAAACCCAAACATTTTTTTGTTTTTACTGTTAAATAAGTGGTTCTGATAATGAGATTAGTGTGAACTTATTTGAAATGTTTTGCCTTATAGTGGTCCTGTACACATATGTCACAGCAGCAAAAACACAGGAGTGAATAATAAAATTAAGGATGGCTGAATTCCATTTTGCTGCTTCAGTTGTCAAAGGGCTGGCTCACTGTTACACTGGTTTGCTGGGATACTTAAATGGAACAGAGCTGTCTTTAGCAACACTTGTTCTTGTCTTACTATGATACGTCTGCCTAAAAGAGGCCTATTTATTTTGTAAGTAAAATGTTATTGTAGCCTATATGATGGCAAAAGGTCTTATTTTGATATTTTCATAGTCTTTTTCTTTTACTGTAAAATATCCAGACTGTTCAAATTGATGCTGTGTGTCATGTACGAGTTTTTATCTTTGCTTTAACATTTTGCTCTACCAAGGCCTAATTTAGAATTTGGTAAGGATGCAGTCCACCCTGGTAGGGAGCATTGATTATAAGAGGCTGGATAACAACTGATGACGTTTTGACAAAAGAATTGCAGAGACATAGATCTGTGAGCCATTATCATCACAATGATAACATTACCTGTCGTCCTTCTATACAATACAAGCAGTTGTGTTACATCCTCTTGATACAAGGCTATTACTGGATAACTACTTACTTGTAAGTAACTACTCAACTACTTCTAATAGTAATACTAATTCTTGTACTTTATCTCTTTGAAGATCTAAAACACACACACACACACACACACACACACACACACACACACACACACACGCAGGTCATCTCCCTGCTCAGGAAGTGGTCCTTTATACTTGCATATAGCAGAGCTCATTTATAGAAAACCTTCAGAAAGGTTTAGAATAGCTCCATGTTCACTTTTTATTGTCCTGTTAATGCTTTTTTGTATCTGCAGCTTTAAGGAACCCCTTGATCCTCACTTGTTTTTTGTTTTTTTTCAGCTAATTTTTGGGATCTACAGTTACAAACAGAACCAGTGACTGAATAAAATGAAAAAACATTGAATGAATAAATAAGTAACCCCTCGGGAAAACCCCCCTTTTATGTGTGCCCTTTCCTCACACTCTCGCTTTCAGAGGTATTATGACTGTCCTCTGTTATTATTGATGATGAGCTGATGCTCTGAAGCCAGATATAGAATACAAGAAAAAAAAGAAGATCTGACGACAGCATCGCCTCTCTCGCCCTGTATTCTATCGTGGTCTATCTGCTGCTGTGCGCGTCCCAAAGAGTGCATGAGAGTGGATGGAGAGATATGGCAAAGAGTGCGCACGACTGCATATCAACCCCATAGTGTGCGTGTGTGTGCTTTTTTGTGTGTGTGCGTGTGTGTGTGCTCTTCATAGGCGACGGGAAATATGAGTTGAATGTGAGGCAGCAGCTGATGCGCCGGTAAGGGATGCTGCTGCTGCTGCTGCTGCTGCTGCTGCTGGCTGCCGTGTAGGATGCTTCTCCGCTCCTTCTCTCCTCCGGGCGCCCCTTCGCCTCTTCCTGCTC